ATGCGAAGGCTTTGAGAAACAAGAGGAAAACTTATCAAGAATGAGAAGATATCGGAGACTTGGTCACAATCCGTAAACAGTGAACGGAATGGTGAAATGGGAACAAGAATTCACCTGAAGCACTTTCAACGTCGGTGCGCATCCGAACCAAACGTGAGGCAAATGCTTCCGATCTGTAATAGGTATTACGTTCACGTAGAAAACAACATTGCTAGAAATAATACCGACAGAAAACACATTTATCACGATGTAAACTCTGTCCTGTGAAATGGATGAGAAATGACACCTCTGCGTGAAGGACGTGTTTCTTCTGAACTGTCGAGGCTACTGACACTTCCTGACAAACATAGTATAAATAAACGTACGTGCATCGGATCCGGAAATTTTCGATCGTACACTGACTAAGTCTTGACATTGCAGATCTGTGTTCGGGAGCCAATTCAATGAAACTAATCATTCCACATCAACTTCTTTGATTACGAGAGAGCATTTATGCAAACGAAAATAACAACCTGATAGAACGCGCATCGATTATTCGGTGTTTCTGAGAAGGTTGGAAACGACCGTGAACAGTTTATTGTATGGAGCGGAAACTCGACATTCAAAACGTTGACGAAATTTAAAAACAGTCGCTCATAAAACACGACTCACATCCCTTGATCAGACATCGTCAGCAAACAATGTTCCAGATGATTGAGAAATTGGGAACAGACACAGCAGGTAAATCGGACTAATTGCAGAAATCACTGTATGTAGTCACAAATAAACACTAGCTTCTCATCTTCGAGGCAGAAAGGAAAACGCATGACCAAATCACTCGAACTTCTACATATCGGGATCAAACGGACTGTTCGGAAACCTCTAGTCAGTACTGAAACGATAAAATCCGAAACAGAAGGGAATAAGGTGGATTCGCTCTGTGTTAAGCAACACATTCACGTGTAAAATAAAAGTGTTAGCAGTGAAAATGACAGGAAACACAATTTAAACTATTTTAACTCTGTCCTGTTTATCGAATGATCTTTATTCGGAAGATTTATAACACCTGTCTCTAATGAAGTGTTTCTTCTGATTTTTCGAGGTACTGCGACTTCCTGAAGACTAAAGTACCAATAACCGCCTGTGTCGGAACCGGATATTTCGATCGTGGCACAAGATTATAATGTCCTAACTAATGATGCCTGTTGTCCTATTTGACAAAATGTCCGTAAAATAAAAGCTCCAACATGTAGTCGATAGAGGGGTTCCAAGAGACCAGGAATGACGTTTCGTGAACTTGCTTCGTCTCCATTAGCAGTGCAGTGAGTAGGTTTACTTCTGGACAGAAGAGAGGTATGTGTGGGTGAAGAAGGATTTGATTTCGACCAATTTGGTCTCTCGTGCTGTTACGTGTATGATGGCGGTTGTCACTTCCCGGCTGCTCACACTTTAGAAGGTTGATTCTTGAGGGACCTGAAAATGAAGACAGATTAGTGTTGGTCTTAGAGACCTGGGTGCGTGACCGCAGAGCCCAAGGGACAACTGCTTGAAGCCGGTCACGCACGGCCTTTTTACGAGTGATTTTCTGAGTATTAGCTCCGCTTTAAAGGCCCTTAGTGGCCACCCTAATCGCCGAAGACGGAAATCCGTGAGGTAGGATGAGGTGTGACATTTTAAGGGTCGACCTTGTCTAACTCTTCCTTCCTTGTGAGAAGGCAGCAGCATCGCTGCAGATGCTAGTTGTCCGAGGGAAACACCTCAATGCTGTCAAACACCTCTGCAAACAGCAGTACGTTCTTGCCCTCAGAGCTTGGGTAGTTGCTTTTAGACTCATCGTTCTTAAATCGACCTGTCTAGCAGGGTAGAACCTTCAGGAACATATGTTCCAGCCATCATATATCTCAAATAGGTCATCAGTATAGGCAAGCCCGAGCATCACTTCAGGGAAGCAGCTACGGTCGGGGAAAATTCGATCATGCTCTGACTAAGTTGTGACATTGCAGATCTGTGTTCAGGAGCCAATTCAATGAAACTAATCGTTCCAAATCAACTTCTTTGATTAGCAGAGAGCATTTACACAAACGAAAATAACAACCTGATAGAACGCGCATCGATTATTCGGTGTTTCTGAGAAGGTTGGAAACGAGCGTGAACAGCTTATTGTATGGAGCGGAAACTCGACATTCAAAACGTTGACGAAATTTAAAAACAGTCGCTCATAAAACACGACTCACATCCCTTGATCAGACATCGTCAGCAAAGACATACATTGAGAGAGAACAAACAATGTTCCAGATGAATGAGAAATTGGGAACAGACACAGCAGATAAATCGGACTAATTGCAGAAATCACTGATCAGTCACAAATAAACACTAGCTTCTCATCTTCGAGGCAGAAAGGAAAACGCATGACCAAATCACTCGAACTTCTACATATCGGGATCAAACGGACTGTTCGGAAATTAGTAGTCAGTACCGAAACGATTAAATTTGGTGAACAGAGCGTACAGTCAACTAGAAATCGATAAAACATTTCCTCTCATCACTCTTAGTTGGTACTTAACGGAGAAATTTGCACGACAGTATACACAGATAAATACGATATCAGACACATCTCAGTATTTTTTTAATTAAGCCTTATCAAGCATGACAATAGAAAGAATGTTGTATTTTTTTCACAATCTGAGCTTTTTCTATCTTAATGTGTGATTGTCAATTGTTTTCTGAGAGTTTAATTAACTCTAAATTCCAAGAAATATAACACAGTGCCTTGAGTCTGAGTGTTTGAAATTATTTATCACTATGTGGTGATAATTATCTGTCACCAAATGCGTAAATAAAATTATGAGAGACTATGTTATGGTATATGTGACTTTCACAAGTCAGTCCTTAGTGGCTTTCCATTGATATACATTTTGCTTCCTGAAGCTTATTTTGTAGACGTTAGGCAATAGAGACTGATTGAATATGGCTCCTCATATGGACCACAGGAAGACGTCAAAAAATGCGCGTCTGAATTATATGAGCTTTACAAAAATGTCCAGTCAGTCGTATGAGGAATATAGCTAACAAAGAGTTCAATAGTTAGTGAATTGCCAGTTATGTCAGCAATATTATACTCACCATAAATACTTGTTTCTTGGAACAACGACATTATTCTTTGCTCATCACACAAACCTCAAGATGAAGGATGAAACGACATCGCACTTGAACAAAACATACGATATGACACAGAATCATTTCGTCAAGTACTTATATATACGATTCTGTGAATGCACACTCCTTGTGAACTGAATATGAGCAATGCAGGTTTCAGGTCACTTCACAGTCTAAACTGTAATATCTGATAGTTCGTACCTGTAGTATTTCGAAGAGCGGTAATGTGGAACATAATGCGCACACTATCGTAGAAAGGGCTCATCAAAGTAGAGCAAATTAGATATTGTTCAAATAAATGCATGTACATATCAACAATTAGTTTTTATCTGTAAATTTTGCGATGATTTTTATTTGACATCTTCCAAGAGAATGGAAATGGGTTATTTTAGCGTTATTTAGTTGATTAGATATCGCTTTATATCATAATGTTATCAACTTTTCCGCCATGCAGCGAACTAGCAAGAACCATTCATTCAGCTCCAGAGTTATGAAGGCTGGCGCTTGAGTTATGGCTTCTAGTATATATGGACAACATTGTACATTGAAACAGTTATCATTTTCTATGTTCAATAATAAGTATCTATATATCAGCAATTACGTTTTCTTCAAACAATAGTTCCACTACTGGAACTTTCTCTCAGAAATGGTTTACACTATCGATACGTAGCGGCTTCGTTCGAAGAGGGGCTGGTCAGCCAAAGTTTGGTTGTATGGCTGAAGGGTTGATAAACAGGAAGCGTCCAATGAAGTTCAAGTTCTTATCGAGATGTTTTTCCGCCGCCGTGCCAATATTTACGTGCCAAGTTTGTCTATCGTTTAGGCATGTCACACGGGCGTGGCTCGTATACAGATTCTAAATGTTAGATTCGTAGGGGTTCGGACCAAATAAAGCTGCAGACGTAGGAGAGAACCAGACTGAGCGAACGATGCAGAAACGTTCAGTGCGAAACCATTCGTATGCCAGATATATTCGTAACCGGAAAATCAACTGAGTGCATTGACAAGATAGTGGATGATCTGCCGGTCATATTTACAGATAAATACTAGCTTCTCATCTTCGAGGCAGAAAGGAAAACTGCATGACCACATCACTCGCACCTCTACATATCGGGGTCAAACGGACTGTTCGGAAACCTCTAGTCAGTACTGAAACGATGTAATCTGGTTAACAGTGCGTACAGTCAACTAGAAATCGATAAAACATTTCCTCTCATCACTCTTAGTTTGTACTTTACGGAGATATTAGCACGACAGTATACACAGATAAATACGATATCAGACACATCTCAATATTTTTTGAACTTAGCCTTATCAAGCATGACAATAGAAATAATGTTGTATTTTTTTTCACAATCTGATCTTTTTCTATCTTAATGTGTGATTGTCAATTGTTTTCTGAGAGTTTAATTAACTCTAAAATTCCAAGAAATATAACACAGTGCCTTGAGTCTGAGTGTTTGAAATTATTTATCACTACGTGGTGACCTTATTCTATGTTACTAATTGCCTATATGAAACTATGCGAGACTTTGTTATGGTATATGTGATTTTCACAACTCAGTCCTTATTGTAAATGAATGAATTTTCTTGGGTTTTTTTTACTTCAGAATTTTTTAAGTTAACTTACGATTTTATCTTTCTTTTATTTGTGAACTATTTGCTACATTTTTTCAACTTATTTTCTTTGTCCTTCTCTCTCTGTTTTCTTCTGTCTGTGTTAGTTAATTCTTTACGCATTTTTTTATTTTTAGTTTTTTTTCAATTTTCTGATATAATATAAATTCTGAGCTTCTCGTGGTTGTTTTATCTGGCCACTCTTCTGTATATGATAGCTTATTGCTCTCTCGTATACCCAGAACAATATGTCTACTGATAAGCGATACTTTGATCGTTATGGCGTAATAAAATACGGTAATTTTTTAACATTATCTTTTAATTTTTATCATCATATTTCTTTTAGTGATCATTTTCTGTGTCTTCAACTGCTTTCATGGTAAGTTGTACATTGTTATCGATTCATTTGCTAACATAATCGATCTCAACATCATATTGATTAGGAAGTTATCTACCTTATCTACCTTAAATGTTATTCTCATCATCTTTGAATACATGTTCTTATGTCTTCAGTAACAAGATATTTTGTTGTAGACCACAGCAATTATTTAATAAACCATGAGGTTTTAAGAAATTCAATGGAAATGAATGTTTAATTACTCTTCAATGAATCACAATCTTCAATTCACATATGATACTTATTAGTTTCAATGGTTATCAGTAGGAATATTTATTTATATTATATTAGCTTGCCTAAAAATATAACACATGTTGCTGAATAGCCTCATAAGTAATTTATTAGATAAGATAAAAGTATTAATCAGTAACTTACAAAGATAAAATTCATATAGCCCGCATATGTTTATAGTGAAATTATTGAAAATTGACATATGAATTTACAAATTTTGTATAGGTCAATGTATTAATTAATGACCAGTGAATATATATTTTGTCCTAACTAAAATGGTATTTTCTTCTTATGCGTTTTTTTTTGTTTACTAACAGAAACAATACTATCTCAAAGTACAAGTACAATCGATCCATGTGATAATTTCTATCAATATGCATGCAAAGAATGGGAAACAAATAATCCAGTAACAGATATTGAAGGACAGGTAGATACTTTTACAAAAGCTGAAAAAAATGTTGACGATTACTTCTATCATATAATTAGTAAGTATTTTTTTCATACTTTGCAGAAATAAGACTTTATTGCATTGATTCACCTTTGTTGAATAGATGAAATAAACTTTTTTCATATCAAGTTCTATTTGACCCTAAACTTGTCAATTAGGAAATGAAGGACTTTTTGAAACAACAATAGAATGTCATTGAAATGTCACGTTCACGCGCGTGATTAAAGATCCTTGATTCCATCCATTACTGAATGTGGGTCTCGTGAATGCGCAATGTTGTTTGATCCCACTAAAAGTTGAAAAAAGCCTTTCAATGTTTCCGGGTTTCCGAATAATCATTTGACAATGAGCGAGAATTCATAATATGCACATCTAATAATTTCAAATAACCAGAAACAATGTCTTCATCACGAAATTAAATCTCGTATACTGTCATTCAAAATTATAGATTGCTGCCTATTAATTTGAACATTCGTACTAGAATGTGACAAGTCGAATCAAGAAAATTGGTCATATTATAAGTGCATAATTCCCTGCACTTCCCAATGATATTTTGATTTCTTTTCATTCATAGTTACTTTCTACAAACGATTATTCATTTATCTCAATTAAGACTTAAATAAGTTCGATCAATTTGTGACTGTTATGTGTACTATTCAAATAACGTAACTAAGGTGATTTGTACGAATTTAATTTCAACTCTACCTACTAATACAATTTTTACAATTTCATTTAACTTGTTTTCTCTTCAATCGCTTTTCTTTTCAAATGACGATTCCTTTCACATATTAAGGTAACGAAACCTATTGTTCAACTGATCCTGGCTTGTTGTCTGCCCATAAATTTTACAAAGCTTGTATAAAAAGTCCTTTTGATTCGGAAGACCATGTTAAAAGTCAATTGCTTCATTTAATTTCCATGTCATTTGGAAAGTGGGGTTTGTTGCCATCCTCTAGTAGATCTAATCTTCTGCCAAATGTTCTAACTTTGAATTTGACTGCTGTTTACCTACCATTGATAAGTACAACTGGATATTCACCTTTATTTTCACTGGAAGTTGATCAAGTCACTAATCAAGTCAGAGTAAGTTATTGATATACTTCATTTTATGAACACTCTCAATTTCGCTCTATCTAATCAACAATCATCATAAGGATATTTTTTAAGGAAAATTAACACATGAAAACGACGGTTTAGGCACTACATGAAAGTGACAGGTGTTACCAGATGACATCACTTAGCTAGACACTCTAAGCAACGATGGAATAAGGTCAACGCTAGAAGCAGAACGTTAGTTCTATAGACTATAGGCTAAAGAAACTTCTGGATGTTGCATTATGTAACTAGTCTCATGGATCTCTATGGATCTCCAAACGTATCATATAATATTATACTGAATTCTATTCAAAAATACAATCAATCCCATCAGGATTGCCAAGATGAACTGCTTAAATGCGTCAAGTGACGTAAGATGTAGGGCTTTAAGCTGATTATTTCTATTCTATATCTTCAAAATGCAAAGCACATTATGTTTATTTATCTAACATCTATTGATCTGCAGAAATAAAAACCCATTATTGTGATGATCTATCTTGTGCTGATATTTTATTGTTTTATGTCAAGGACATATTTCGATGACCGTTGATGTAGTTTGTGGTCCTTATAAACAAACCTTGTTTCGAAGAGGTCCGTATGAGATTGAATAATTTAATAACTATTAAATTATGCAGACAATGTAAAAATAAGAGTAAAGAATATCCTCGGTCAGATATGCAGTTAAATCTATGTTGATGATAAAAGCCCTTGCAGTAGGGCTTTACCGTGGTTTCTGGATCAGCGAAGCATCGTGCTATGCGCATAACAACGAATTCAACGAAGAACATAAATATCAGTTTCATGGGAGATAGCAGTCACGTTTAGATAAGTGTGCATGTATGGAATAGATAATCACGGAGAGAGGCCTTAACGCTAACGTTGAAATAGACAAAAGCGAATAGGGAAATATCGTGCAGCAACACTAATTGAAGGAAAAAAAATCAAGAATGATGTGAGATTTGCAAGCCTTTGTCTTCAACATAAAGTTTATAGATACCAGTATACTTGAACTGCAAATACATATATAAAGTCAGGCAAGTTTCACCGGGGCTCATCATAGAAATTCAGATAGAATAAATCTCCATTCGTACAATGTTCAGAAGAACCATGGAAGATTTTGGAATAAGATGAGTAAGTGATATATCATTCTCGTAGTGACAAAAAAATGCCAATGTGCACTTATAGAATGTGAATCTCATGTTTTCTGAATCTGCAAGGTGTCTTTCCGAACAAATATGGGAATGATTTCCATAAACAGCTTCGATAAATGTTGCCCAGATGTAACTGTGGACGTATAATGGTTTCCAGCAACTGCTAACAAAACATCTAGGCATATTCTTTGATATCTGTTAGTGTTCAAGGAGCCATGTTGTTCTTTGTACCGGAATATGATGAGTATCCTAACGTAAACTACTACTACTCGTCGTGTTACAATACTAATAATCTTTAATAATCCTATTCCATATTTTTATTCTGTTAGATCAATTCAGGTCAGCTATCATCCATTGAAGAATTCTTGAACGAGGTATATTGCAGGTTATATTCAATATTTTAAGTCTTAAAATTCTTGCTCTTCAGTCCAACTTATTGTCCATTTATTCTTCCTTTGTTGTCAATGTAACATCGCACAAACATTAAAGTTTTCAGGGTATGCGATAGTATTTAAACAGCAGATATGTAATTTCCCATAATTTAGAAATTCAATTCAGGTGATAGCTTCAGAAAACAAATAAACAACAGAACTAATCTAAGGCAATTCTAGTTGATACAGACGACATAGCAGAATATTAGCTTTTACACAGAAATAATTATAGAACGATGATATCAACAAATTTAGTAAACAGGTATAAGACAAGGTAAACAAATGTCATAGAACGTGAATATTAAAGAGTTGATGATCCTTGCATTTTTATTCACAGTAAGGCGATACTACATGCCGGCACTTACATTAACGCATACATAGCTAGTCAGCCACAAGGTGGTTTGAATGAATGTGATAATGCTGTACATATGTCAGTCAAATAGAAATGAGAAACTAGTTATGTATCAAATGTGGCTTTAAGCAAAGTTCCGGTAATTTTAATCAATACTTATACAACTGATATAATTCTTTGCACATTTCATTTGCTTTTCCTTTTTTTAAACAGGAAGGACTTCTTCGCCTAAAAGAAGTATTTTATCGGGCGGCTAATTTACTTAATGTGAACCATTCGAATGATGAAAGTCTCACTGCTGCTTTCCAGTTATTTGACCGGCTAGCTAATGTAAGTTTATTCATATTAATGACTTGTCAGCCTCTTTTAAATACTGCTTGATAATGCTGTATTGTCTAGATTAGTGTTGAGTTGTAGTGCATAGAAGTATCAGTTAACACAGGTTTTGAGCCCTTTTTTATTCCGAATAAATATGTTTTAGCGACGTGAAACGTGGTACCAGCTTATAAAATGATAGAAGAAACACAAATCAAGTGATGAAAGACTGAGACACTCATCGTCAGTCTTGTTCATGAATATATACCTTCTCATAGACAAAGAGCTGATACAAGTTACGTAATGTTAGTATGCTGTCAAATTATTTAACGTTGTAGACGGAACTCAAATGCTATCAAGCTAATATGACCTAGAGCCGATAATCTATATAAGGTGCCTACTTACAAACCGTTATCCTGAATCTTATTTCCTATGCAAACTGCTCTCCAACGGTGTCTCTTACCAGAGCATTTAGTTCACTATTCGCTTGCTTTCTTTAGTAATCTATACTTGAATTCAAGGTCAACAACTAGACTTTATCAATATTTCAGAAAGACCAACTTAAAATATAGGCAGATCAGACTTGATCACACCATACAAATAGATGGAGCTTCATTTGAACACACTTTGATCAGCATAACAGAAGACCCGAATTTATAACATTCGATTCCTTAAATACAAGACTGAATGCACCTTTTGGGAAATGAATACATGATGCATTAACCTACGTTTAGCTGCGGGTAGTCAGTTGAAGTTAGTATGTCTGGCCCATCATTTTCTTATTTTGTTGATATTTCATTGGATGCTACATATGGCTGTTCAATGGAATCAAGGATCTATATTTTATCTGATTTCACCTGATTATCCAGAGATATGATGAATCTACCTGACAAAGCTGTTACTTTAAAATAACAAGTATTAGTGATGTAAGATCAAATCCGATTGCCTGAACAGATGTACTGATTGGAGTTCTGTTGTTTTAAATCGAACATCACGGGCTTGTAGTTTTTTGCAGTCAGGAGTAGCATTTCACGTTCACACGAAAAACACCATTTTTGTTTTTTTTATCCTATAAATATTGGCATTTGATTATTCGGATTTGCTTAATGCTTGTTTTTATTCCATTTTTAGAATTCCTTGGGTCCTCAAACATATCCGACATCTAAGTCAAGAAAACTTGTTGGATTAAGGACATTGAAATCTATCTGTCCACCGGTAAATCGATTTGTTTCTCTTTGAAATGAGTATAAATTAAACAGAAATAAGCAAACTTTCTAATGAATAATTGTAAAATTCAAGAAATCAGTTTGAAACCAGATGGATTAACAAGTTTTCAAATGACACCTCAAACAAAATGAATGAATGGTGGTATTTATCGGTTGTACATTGTTTTGCACACTAATATGGAAAGTACATTGAGTAGATGAAGAAGGATATTTTCTGAAGTGAACCATTCCACATATTCTAAAAAATTCTTATTAGTATTCATCTTTGACGTATAATATATGTAGACCTGTCTTCAACATGAATGTGTATTGTTCTCAAATGACGAGATTTGACAGTTTCAAAACACATTCCGTTAATAATTAAGCAACTAAGTAATACCATTTATTGACCAAACAACATATGAAAGGAAAATAAGTAAGTAAGAAATGTAATCAGGTTATGATAAGTTTCTACGAGAGACTAACTCTTCAATTACATTTTCATGTATTTGTTTTAATAATGACTAAATTATTCGCATATTTTCAACAACAATGACACGGCAATCATCAATCAGTTTACTTAGCTAATTACACATCAAAATTCTGCACTAATTCATACATAATGACTGATATTTTAGATCGTAAATGTTTAGTAAGAATCTTAACAAAAATTACCTTCTATTAAATTACTCCGGACAAGTGTTATTTTGACATATGATCAGTGAACAAACTTGACCAATAAAAATTACATCAACTGTCTTCAAATATATGAAAATAAAGATAGTATTTTATTAAACTCTGTCTGTACTATTCACTTTATTGTCTGTTTAGATCGACTGGGATTACTTATTTGACACATTGTTCAAACAAACTGGATTTTCAGGGTACAAGCAACAAAAAATAGAGATCTCAGATACATTTCTACTTCAATATCGTTGTGGTCTACATAAAATTCAATTAGAAACAGAAAAAGAGAAAAGGTAATTCAGGAAATTAAATTTCTGCCTGTTTCCATGTTTTTTTCGGTGAAAAATATTGTGGAAGTGATCAAGTAAGGAATTGTTGAATAATCACTTGTAAACAAAGAATTAAAATCCTCTCTTCATATTCTACGACTATTGAAGTTTAGACAGTTACCAGAATAATGATTTCGTCAGTACTCTTTATTTTGTGGATAAGAAAATAAATAGTTTTTATGTCGGTTTGTGTAACGTTTATGTAAATGACTCGATATAACAAATATTCTCAGATGTATCAACCAGTCTCAAGATTCTCAAGTTACTTATTTAGAACACAATTTGACCATACTCAAGAAAATTAAAATGTTGTGAATAGTGAGCACTGTAAATAATGAGATTTTAATAAATTTGCTCGGTTTTCAGGTTGACTATCCATATTCACTTTTTCACATAATCAGGAATGAGCTTTCCATCAAACTAATTCTTGTGTTTCTTAAATGTCATTTTCCACACATCGATGTTGATAAGCTGATAGTACATTTTGAGACTAATTTACTTGTGCGTTGCGTACAACCCGCATAGCTCTCATTCTTGGCACCAGTGAAAAATTGAGTGTACCTTTTCAAACATTTAGTCTAACTCATGAGTAGTTCACTGTTGGAAATTTATAACTGTGAACGTGATTTCAGTTTCTTAAGGATTCAGCAACCCTATCAACTAATTATATGATCTAAAGCCAACCGAATATAACAATCCACGAGTATGCAACATACTTGAGGATATTATCAGAGGTGAAAAAGTTGCTTCTCGGAAATGTACGTAAATGCTTTTCTATGCAATTTGTCTTCTACAGATAAATTACTCACTCAGACAATGTCACACCGATATATGCTTTTGTTTGAACCACAAGGTTTGTCCTTCGATTTGTAGAATTCCCATAAAACTGAGATGTGATAGATTCCTAAAATCACAGAATGCAGGTTTTCATTTTGATTTGCTTTTCATAAAAGAAATTATTAGTAATTCTATTGTAGATAACTGCGGATAATAATCACATTTGTAAAAATGTCACCTAGTAATAAAGTATTCCTTTATTTTGATTTCCAATGACTTTTGAAGTGCGCTGTACAACTTGGCTATTCTGAATTTTGTGGTTGAACAAATCAGTCGTTCCTTGCATCGTTACAATGGTTATCTTGGGAATACAACAAATGCAGGTGATGTGAATATTATAACATGATTATAACTTTTGTGTTGACATTCATTGATGAAACGTAATACATTTGAAATCATCAATCAATCATTGCTGATGAGTCCCATACCAGGACGAAACGGCCGTCCAGTGCTTCCAGGTTTCTAATGGTGGTCTAACAATGATTGATTGATGATTTCAAATGTGTAAAACATCGCGAACCAGCAAAACTGTGCCCCGAAATATCGTAACAGTGCTCGCTAGTGACTAGCTTCGTGAGGAAATTCTCGGAGTTGTAGTTGAGAAGACGTGACTAATGGAGTTCAACCCTGTCGGGTGTAGTCAGTAACTACCAAAGACAAATGGGTAAGGTCGCGCAAAATCCCTAGATCAATCAGAGTTAGACATTAACACCGTTGGATGCCGGCCCAGTGGTCCGATGGTAAGGCGTTCGCCTACAATGCCAAAGGTCCCGGGTTCGAATCCTGCGAGGAGCAGGAGTCGTGGATGCGCACTGCTGATGAGTCCCATACCAGGACGAAACGGCCGTCCAGTGCTTCCAGGTTTCTAATGGTGGTCTAACAATGATTGATTGATGATTTCAAATGTGTAAAAAATCGCGAACCTGCAAAACTGTGCCCCGAAACGTAATACGTTTAGTCCGATTGATGTGAACGAACGTGTGCTATGTGGTTTGTTGACTAGCTCCATAGAGAATCTGCATATTAAGCTTGGTATTAATAGGCTAATAATGAGAATATACTTATGTCAAATGTGTACACGTTTATAGTAAAAAGTGAATTTACTGAAGCTTTTAGATATGATTGTATGATTTGAAACGTTATCACGTACATAAATAAATCTCGCAAGCAAAGTGCAGAAAAATGAAACTTCGTCGATAAAAAATTGGTCATTGAAAACGATCATAAACATCACAGTTCGATGTCAGGAATAAAGTAATATCGTTTCGGCTTCTTAGTTTCTGTCATTCCCTCAAACTATGCATTTGTTGTATTAATCCATCAGGCAAAATTTACGGTAAAACAATCAACTGTCATTGAGCAACATGACGATTGTCTGGTGAATTTATTGTTTATCGAATTGTGTTCATCAGGCTGCAACTTGGTCACTTGTCTAATTGATGTGATTTTGGACTGTGTGATTAGATGTTAGGCGAATGGAAGTATTAGGTCATGACTCTAAGGAGTAGATAAAACATGGCGCTGATCATGGTGGTCACGGACTACTTACACATATTTTAGTGACGTTGGCTCGATTTCAAGACAACTGTCGCATAATGAAAGGAATAATATTCACTCCAAACGTTGGCAATATTTACCGGCAATCACTTAAAAACTTTCACTTCGGACAACAAATTTAACTGAAATAACTGCAACTTATTCGGATGCATTGCCTTGTTTATTCTTCCGCGTTTTGATTACATATACTAACAACGTTAAGATCTCCAATATGCTCGGTTGCATTGTGGCTCATTTTATAGTTACATGAATTAATCCAGTCAGTATTTTCATCAATAATGTGAAAGTTTTGGGCACTGCTGTAGTACAAATTAAAGTTAAACTGACAATCCATTCATATGAATACTTAATACCGTGCCTCCTATTTTCTTTCGTTTACATCAGGAAGCACATTTTACTTCTCCCCTCATTGTATGACACGAATGAAGACTGTATTTCCATGGACACTTGAGAAGCATTATCTGTCTTCAAATATCACTGAATACGAAAAAACGCAGGTGAGAGTTTATTTGTCAAACAACTATCATATCAATGTGACCGAGAGTTTACTATTTCAAATTCAAAACTGAACAACCAGTCCATCACATGACGCCAGTTTGGTTACATGATAATCTTTTACTGTTACTGAATCAGATATCGGTTAACAATTATCAACCGAGTGTAACACCAATCACAAACACAAAACACGCAAGTAGAACATTGGTCACCTGCCAGAGTTCGACAACAAACTTTGGCCTGAAGCTTCATATTTAGTTCTATATAGTTACTGTCCACTCTTCTGTCGTCTGTTCACAACTCTCGTCCTATTGTGTCCTTTCGGATTCCCTTTCTCCATCTACTCCGAGGATTTCAAGTGTCTGCATGAATTCTGATGCGGTCGTCTTAGTGTCTATGAGACCTACGCACCACCACCGCTTCATGACTATTTCTTCACATGCTGATATCTGTTTGTTTATTCTCAGGGTTGATTGCCGCTGAAGATCAAATCTCTCTGAAAATCCATTATTCTTAGACTCTTTTGAAGTAGATTTTCAGGCTTACTGAACGCTTAAACCAGTAATCATATATCATAGAACGATATTTTGAAACCACTTCTAGACAATAACGTTACACCGTAAATTTACTGTCAAACTTAATAGAGAATAATAACACTAGGAACTATATCACCACTTGAATAGTGTCCGTTTTCCAAGAGGTCAGCTGATGTTGTTCAACTTAGACCAGAACAACAGTTATATATATATATATATATATAAATTCATTATATTGAGGGGCTTTCATCAATTGTTCACAACCAAATAGGTATCCAAATGTCGCGATAATACATAATGTAATATGAGGCAACTGACATCCATGTTGCAAGGAATTAGGCTGATGAATTCTCATCATAAAACTATATTTTTCAAAGCCATAATTGTTAAATGCCTCTAACTGCAGCGTACTTGGTTGATATCTGACATCATCTATAAGTGTAAATAACTGATAAAAACCACTAAATATAATGAATTTTTACGATCGTGACTCGGTCGCCATTCTAACCTCATTTTATCTCATAAGGGAATAGATTATTATTTTCATTCCATTTTTCACACGATAAATTATTCGGAACTTGAAACCAGTGAACAAGAGTTACTGATTGCAAAACACTGGTTTCTAGAAAACTAAACAGATTTACATTTTAGGCTGGATAATTACTCATCTTAAGTAAAATATGTATGAAAGCACATTGACTCACACATTTTAAGACTGAGTGCCTAATCAGATCGTATATTTTCATTCAAAGGTAAACCAACTGCTTACACAAGTGAGAACTACCATTATTGAGTCAATTACCAAAGCTACATGGATGGACAATGATACAAAAAGCTTTGCTACGACAAAGGTAAGCACGATTTTTAATTACTTTTTATCAATCTATGACGATTAAACTCATGTTTTAGATTGGAAATATCAAGAATTTCGTCTTATATTCTCATGTGAATGAATCACAAAGAAGAGAAAGTCTTTCAGCAATATACAGGGTGAGTTCTTTAAAGACAGATATTTATTTCAATAAAATAGAATAAGGTCTTATTATTATTGAAAAGTTATGAGCTCAGTTTGCGAGTGTTTAAAACAAGTCATCTACCTGTAATTTTGAAATAAAATAGGTCATAAGGTGGATTCCACCCAGTATCTTTAGCTCGTGTCCATGCTAACACGAATACAACCACAAGGGCTTACGAATAAATCGTTTATTAAAGCAACTGCAATAACAGTATATTCGTGAATAATAATATTATTCACGAAATAAAGAGATCAGAATGTACTGTAACTTGCCTGATCATTTCGAAATATCAGTTTGCATTGATAAATTATACTTGTATAGAATTCCTGAACAAAATCGCAATCACGTCTTAGGTTATTCATTCCTATTCATTACAGGGTTGTAAACACAAACATTTGATGACAATAAATATGAAAATATACAAATGCTTAGATTTCATGTTTCCAAAATTGATTAAAGTTAATATTATATATACTTGCACTCATTCGCTTTCTAACACTTTGCAAAACTTACACTATTTCGCTCGTAAATTGTATTGAGTAAATGTTTTTGTTGATTTCCTGCAAAATCTGAATCTATACTATCCATACGAATCATTAAATTTCAGTATACTATGAGTCCGTTAAACCATATTTGGAATGAATACTATGCACTAAAAGCCATCTATTCAGATAAATTGAAGAAAGGTTTTGGAATGTTCGATACAACGTAAGTCATTTAGTTTTTTATTCACGTCTAAATGATTATTAAACATTCTAAGTTTATCGGTTCTTTTGGTATCCTCTGACTCTAATTCTGATAATTTTTTAAAAACAGTACTCTGTGATTCTACCAGACCTGTTACGAATACTATGTAACTGGTAGCGAGAATATCTACACATTCAAATTATATATAAATGGTACCCAAATACACTCATCTATAAATCAAATGAACATATATTTTGATATGCTCACCAATAGATATAATTGAATGCTATTATGAGTTCATCCTACTCAGTAAACTGAAAGAAGGCAAAGATATATTGACACGATAGGTTATTCTATTTTGTCTGTCCCTGACCCATCTAACTAGATCAAGAAGTCGTGATAAGGCGTATAAAGTGTATTGTACAAGCACACAGAAAATGCTGGGTCGCTAAGCGCACAAACCAAGCTTATTTATGCAATGGTAGCACCGTCTATCGGAGAACTACAAAATAGCAAACTAAAATAATCCATCGAACAATGACATTCAAGGAATTTACCTTCAGGAAATGTGAGCTAAATGTAAGCTTAGCGACTTATGTGCGAAGAAATAATGAAGTCAAAATTTCAGAAATAAATTACAACTCCGGATTTTTTCCAATTGAGTTCTGAGGATCTAACATCCTTAACACATTTGTGGTTAACTAAGAGGCAAAACCTCTGGACCGCAACAAATGGAACACAATAACACACACATTTTATCAATATGAAGTATATTAACTTGAATAAATACCACACCGAGAAAATTGACATATACCTGTTGTATTTACAATTCAATTAATAGATCACAACCTGATTTACCGACGTATTTGTCAGAAGCCTACTATAGAGGGGATATAAACAGTATGTACATTTTTGCTGGATTGATGCAATCACCGTTCTATGAAAAGAATGAGGATCAAATCCTTAAATTCACTGGTTTGGGTCGGATCATCGCTCATGAACTCTTACACGCTATCGATATTACAGGTAAATTGCAATTCAGAGTTTTTTAAGCATCTATTACTAATTTTTATGTTTGGTCAGTAAAATCTAGTCACTAATAAACGTAATTGGGCTGAAAACTGGTTATAGTATATATGTGTTTCGAATCATTGAAACTGAGTAGGTTTACTGTTTGAAACGAACTTATTTAAGTGACTTCAGTCAACAGGAAATACACGTGAATTTACTTTACCGATCGTTATCGCAAAATAAGCCTAACTATACAACAGGTAACTGATAGTCATCGATTCAAAACAATGTACAAACGTTATACAAAAGTTACTATGTCTATCGTCATCCAATGATAAACTATGACTTAATGTCTGGGGTGACATGATGAAGAATCTCCATTTCATATTTGTATACCAATTATTTCTTCTTATATAAACATAAGGTATTCTCACGGATGAACATGGAAATCTACGGTCTAATCAAAGTTCTCAGGCTGGACTCATTGAAAATATGAAGCAAGTTAATTGCCTCCGATCTCATTACAAAATTCATCCTGATTCGTATGGAAAGGTTAGTATTTTAAAACAATATGCTGTGGACCTTTATACTTATTAATGTCATTCGGAAATAAGGCTCACTCTAATAACGCTTCGAAAACAGCCACCAATTTCAGAGTGGACCAACAAACTTAGTTAAACACTCATGAGGATTTGCTTTAGGAGATTCTTAATTCCTTCACCTTCATCTGAAATTCTGAGGATTTCAGACGAAATTCTAATTACGATTACGACCCGCATATCAATATTCGCATTTTATTTTTGTCTTCATAGCTGGTGTGGATTGTCGATCACATTAGTAAATAAAGAACGCAGTAATCTGCAGTATTATGTACCGATACAAGCCATACTAAGTGGAATAAAGATTCCGGTTTTCTTAAAATTATGCAGAAAGTGAGCTATTCGAGTAAAAACGCTTTCACGAAAGTGAATAACATGTACAAATTACTTAATAATATCGGTGAAAATCCGTAGAAATCATTGAAATCATCTGAGAGTCGTGTAGTAGTCTTCACAGTAGAATGTGAATATATTTGCATTAGTGTAATTATTCACAGATGTGATTTGTTTGTGAGCTTGAGTGACTTTATTGATAATCAAAGATATTTGATCAGATGTAGCAAATAAAAATTATTGTAAGTATTATTATTCTCCAATTTTTCCCGAATCACTTTATATTATAGATTAACAAGATTGGAACACAAGATGAAATTTTGGCTGACAATCGAGGATTGAAAATAATGTACGATGTAAGTGTGAGCCAAAAATTAAAAATGTTCATGCTTTTTTTCTTGAGAGATTCACACTGTACAAGATTCACCCCCCAGAGAAGTGAAGTTTCAGTGTGTGTGACAGCTCACAATACTCCATTAATATACTCCTCGATGTGTCAGGTAGATAGATAGTTCAGTTCAAACGATGAACAAACAGTGTTGCAACAGAAATCTAGTTAGCAGTTACTAGTTCCAGATGGAGCATTTGAGGTGCTGTTAAAATTTCTTTCTCAAATCAGAATTGCACAAATCTATTTTTCGCAACTACAACAATAAGAAATGTTGAGCCATAGATCAGTTGTCAGATTTAGTCATTTTATGACATTTTATGATAGTAGCATGCCTAACTTCACAGAACTGGTTCACAATCAGAACTGTCAACATCATTCTGAAAGCCAACCAGTGTAAGAGAAAATTTACTTCCTTGAAATCACTTCTCTCTTTTAAACAAACGTTTCAATCTGTCCTAATTGTTGTTGGTTAAGCGATGCATTACCGACGAAATAGTTGATAAAACTAAGTGAGATAAATACTCAAACAAAACTTTTGATTGTTACAACAAAATATAATAGTTTCGATCATCCAGTGAAATGGTGACCTTTAATATGAATCATAAAGTATGGAGTCTGATTAGTGAGGCCTACATCAAATGCCTGAAAGTATCTTACTTTCAGGATAGTAGCTGTGAATGAAATATTGTTTATATGTCATTTTAATTCATTTTCCAGACGTACAGAACTGTGCTACAGAGAGGTGCAACTCGAAGTCCTAGTTCAATACAGGCATTTGACCAATCGTTCTTCCTAAAATTTGCAAAGGTACGTTGATGGAAATGCACTTATTCACGTGGAAAAATATTACATTTTAAATGCACAGATAATATCTACATGAAAAACATGAAGCTATTTAAATAAGTAGATAAATACGACAACACAGGCTTTCAACAATAGCAGTAGACAGAACACTTTGTTCAATCTCACTCTAAATCACGATAGGTCTGACTAGGTCAGAATTGTATAAACATATATATATATATATATATATATATATATATATAATCTTTTAATCTATTCAATCTAGACAATGTTCAGTTCATTTGAAACCTTGATATTCACATACAAAGCTCATGCCATAGCCAATAATCCTATCCTATTTAAAAATTCTTGGAATGAAAGTTGTTGTTGCTGTTGAAGTATTAGTGAGGTAGCTTTGATAATTTGAAAGTTCGACTCATTGTAAATCCAGAGACAAATAAACATTGATAAATAGCAACAGTTATTTCATTCATCTGTCCATTATCACTAATATTACCAACGTATAAGTTACAGATTTGTGTTCTTTATGCTGATTTATTGACCAAATAATAATCGAGCGTAGAGCACTTGGCAGTTGGATGTCAGCGTTTTTCGATTTCATGCTTGAGAGATTTCGACAACTCAAACGGCAATCGAACACCGAACCTTCAGTCTCGCACGTGAACGCTTGACCTCCAAACCATTTGATCGGCGTAATACACACCAAACGATGAACAATATTGTTTGACCTTATAGATTGTCTCCGGTGAGCCACTGCCCAACAAGGTTGAACTCCCCTAGTCATGTTACAGGTGTTCGCTTATTGACAGCCTTGCTAATGATGCCAGCAATAACCAACATTTTATTGTAAAATGATCGTATAAAGATGTACTGGGAAATTTCTTGACATCTTGTATTGTGTTTAATTTGAAATATACAGGCATTATGTGGTCATGTGAGTGCTGGTTATTATTCACACTATCAAAATAACGTTCATCATCTCCTTCCTGAATACAGGTAAGCGATAACATGTTTCTAAACATTTTTCACCATTTTTCAAAGTGTAATAGTTTAAATTACATCCTATGTCTAAAATAAAGTAATTCAATACATCTGGTGAGTACTTTTAACCGTAATGATCTCAGCACTCTTAAAACTATGTGCATACTAAAATGGACGTGTTGTAATGGTTTGTGTCTTTCTTATATTTCAGGGTAATTGGCGCATTGATGAATAGTGAAGAATTCGCTAAAGCCTATAACTGTCAAACTGGTTCACGAATGAATCCTTCACAGAAATGTAAGCTGTGGTGAAATCTGCTGCAATAACATCAAGTTACAGTTGAGCTACTAAGAACGAGAACATAATCCCTCATATCTTTTTTACCTAGCATTGTAGATTAGTTGAAAATATTGATATAACCTTTGTAATTGAATTAACTGGTAATAAAAAAACTTAAGATTTTTTAGCAATCAAAGACTTGTTATTGTTTTTTCTGAAAATGTTTCTTTAGCCGATATATCATCTACGTTTGTTAACCACGGTTGAAAATCCTGATGCAACAAACGTCTGAAACATCTAAATATATGTTTTTTTTCATGGGTAATCTTCAATTCCAGATAAATGTTTATTGTTTATAAATAAGCTGCAAAATGTGTAAATGAACTGAGCACATTGTGAACATGGAAATGTTCATGTGAATTTTAAATGTTCATTGAAAGATTGAAGCATCGCCACTCTTTTGCAAACATACGAAAATATGGATAAACGATGAAATAAATCAGCGATTCTTTCAAATTACTGACGAACATGTGAAACTTAAATAAAACTGATTGCACTGCAACAAAAAACGAAAACGAATGTTCGAAATGTAAGTTTAACCTTGAGTAGGGAGTAACAGTGGATTTCAGTAGCATCTACTAAACTGAGAGATGCTCTTTCTTTCTGACTGTGAACATCATGGATAGCGGAGTAATGAAAGCAAGGAAGATCCAAAAGGCATAGTTCTATGAGGTGAAGACGCTGACAATATTCAGAGATTTCTGATCACCTTAAGCGACAAAGTAGGGATGTTGAAATTGGATTTTTCCCCTCGAAACGCAAAATATTGCTTCAGGATTCGCTTGCATCGGCACCTGATCTAGTAATAAGGAATGAAGTTGTTGAGCGAGTTGGTCACTTCACTTATGTTGGGAGTCTCATTACTGATGATGGCCTGGTGTCTTTCGAAATCTAAGCATGAACATGGAACCCTCAATTGGCTATTCACCAACTTCAGTCACTTATGACGTCGACGAGATACTTATCTGCAAAACAAAGAACAAGTCTACTATGCGGCGGTTCTCTTCCTCCTATTTTATGGGTGTGAATCATGACCACTAAGAATAGGGGACATTTGCTGGTTACTAGTGTGAGGTCAAAAGTGCCTTTGGAGCGTTCCTCATATATCCGGGGACAATCTAGTAAGCAGTGCTGATCTCTGGAAACCAGTACAAGGTAGGGATGGAAGACCTTTTGATCAGGTACTGAAACCTAATCAGTTAAACTGGTTCGAACATGGATAAAGAATGTTCAACCACCTAGTGCCATGAAGAGTGATGTAGTGGCAGGCCGGAATAAAGGCTGTTGCGAGCGAAACGAAACAATAGACAAACCCACGTGGTCACTGAAAATTAGACTAAGCCACATTTGTAGGTGTAGACTACCTGGTTATGGTCGACGAGAGAATGGCTCAATTGGAGAGATATTCTGAAGAACAATGGCAAAAATAGTCCGCAGTGGCTTTGATGAATACATCCTTTCTCTTCTCTCAAGTTCTTTACTTCTGAATGGACCGGAATGTGTCTTTCACTTGATACTCGGGAGGTTGAACTCAACAAAATACATTTGCAGGCAAATCCAAGACAGACTTCATATGTTTTCCTTTATGATCTGTGATCAATATGATTAGTGAGACCGAGGTTTTAAGTGATTATTGTGATAATGCTTGTGAAATATAGAATAATAGTTTTATTTGTTTATAATTCACCAGTGATCCCCGAAAAATAGATGCGAAAAACGTTGAAAGGGATAGGAATGAGTTGAAGATGTCTGGATTGAGTAGAGAGTGGTTAGTAAAGTTGCTTAATAATGTATTTGTGAGTCGGTCAGTATAACCGGACGCAAAGCTGTAACAATTAAAATGAAGAAACACTGATTTACGTACAACTCAACCACAGTTTGTAGAGAATGGCTTTTAAGACTTGATAAATTAGCCTTTACCAATAGGAGACAGAAAAACAACTTTTTAGAGGGCACAAACGTGAAAATGGGTAAAGTACTCGTTTGAAAAGTGAGAGCCAGGACTTTTACAAGGTACATTGGACATAGTCGTGTCTAACAACATTGCATGGATGCCCAAGAAAGCCAGCTTTATAGTTTAGGGAGGTCTCCATGTCGCGCACGCAGAAACTTTCCGGACTTATAATGTTTACCTATAGAAGCCTACTCATGCCTTAATAGGAGTATTCGGGCACAGTCATGTACTAGGTTGGTTTAGTGCTGTGTGCGTTGTAGGATCAATTGCTAATTCGAACTAAAGGTGCCCAGATGTTTGTCGGTTCTTAGAGAGGTTCATCGAAACATTTCACTGCTGTGGTCGTTAGGCTTTAGCTTAGGAGGCGTTTTCTCCGAGTCACTACGTTTTTGCGTTATTGCAAGGACATTTTTGAAGTTAAACTGACTTGAGACACGATAGTAGTAGCGCTTATGAGCTGCGATTTTTGTTAGCAATGCCTATTTCCGGACTAGTAGTCTCACTAGCTCCGTTTTCAGTTTTTGTAGGGGTAGGTCGACGTATCGTTGGCTTTGTGTAACAGTTAATATTGTAACTGTTATTAGTGCGGAACCTAGGCTACTCTTTCTTTAACACTTTATTGGAAAGACATCGATTTGCTGTTTTGTTATGGATAGTTCTAATCGCAATAAGTATCAAAATGTCCTCAAGTACGGACGAACTAATAATGAGATGATGATCTGCAAAGCCTCGCCTTAACTTAAAGAGAATTAGGCAGGAGACTTTAGTCTGGATATTAGGTAACTCTCGTGCTACGCACCAAATGTAGAAGATTTACACATCTAGCTTTGTTCTTTTAAAAGTCTTCAAACATTCACTGTCAAGTACGTCATACACATTATCACTCTACATACACTAAAGTGTTTTATCTGGGCTGCATATGTATTTGTAGTTTGTGGTTATTGGTGCTCGGTCTGTGAATACTTTGCTGAAGTAAGGGATCCATATTTGAGTGGGATATGCACCACTGGATTTATAAAACAGACAGACTTACAATCTGTGAGTTGTTGTTCAGTATATCTATTTGAGGTCTAGCTTACAGTTAAGGATCAGCTACATTTACTAACGGATGCTCGCGACATGTCTGTCTTAGCTGGATCTCTAAAAGCAGCCAATATTGATGGATATATTTATGTCTACAAGCCATATTCGAAGTATTTAATGGTTGTGTTCTAGTGCCTGTTACAAATCTACTGTGAATGTGGAAAAATCAAACATTACGATACGCACTGACCATATGTTTTAAAATAGTTTCATTTGATTCGCTTTAGTACAGAATTCGAATTCGTTACCGTTCTTATGGGCTTCAGGAGAGACTGCGTGATTTTTGGATACTTGTATCAGCTTGAAAAGTAATATGAGTAGCATTTGTTCTATATGAATAGTGTTTGTTCACACTGAACTTGAAAGTAGAAAAGTCTGTGGTGGAATGAATGAAATTAATGTTAGTAGAGCACTAAGGATATGAAGTAAAAACTATGATAAAATGTCATATTCATGAAATCGACCACAGATACACGACCTTACACTTACATATGCCGTTGATGTCCCGTAAAAAGGAGGAAGATAGACAAAATAACCATAAATTTATCTCAAAAGTCCAAAAGGACCAACCTAATTCGGCTGTCACTAAATCAGTGAAAAAGGGTACCATGGCACCTGAAATCCTGACCAACACATCAACAAAATTACAGGTTGTTGTTAATCCACCAGCAACTGTTAACGACAAGGAACAGTACGTGACTGTAAAATCGGGGAACAGAAACACCTCAACCTCCAAATGGCTAACACGCAATGACATGGACAGTAGACTAAATTCCCTTATTTTATTTAATGTTCCAATGTCAGAAGAAAGCTTACTAGAATGTACGGCCGTCTTTGATAAAGAACAATCGTATAAGTACTGAACAATCCTCGGAATGTGCAATATCCCCGCAAACATATGCGGAATTTACATTAACACGACGGTGTCTATTCATAAGCCCAGGCTGCCTCGCCTGTCACACCCCACATCAATTAAGTCACCACTTCTGATGGCTGTTAAACTCATGAATCATGAATACCTAAAGGAGACTCTTCAGGCTTAGTATAACTCGAAGGACGACTCTCGAGCCACATTAGTGGTTGCGAAAGCCGACCTAGATCTATGAAACAACGGCAAGGAGGCCAAAAAATAGCGCGAAACTGACATTTGACCTTCATCAACAACTCTTGGCACAAGGCACCAAGATTATAGTCCCGCCGACTGGACGCACTGCATAGGCAGAATTCTTCAAAGGCAAATTGCCACAGAACCGGCCAACTCCTTTCAAACAACTTGATTGAATATCTGACAACGGTTGTCGTTGCAGAGCTTCACCACGTAATCAGACAAATCACCAAGTGCCTCAATAGCAATGTCAGAGTCCTAAGGCGTAAACTGTCATAAATCAGGAGTATGTGCTTGCAGATAGATCTGAAGATCATAATCCTAACTAAAACATGGCCAACTTCTGATTTTGCAGACGACGAAGTGAGCTTGCAAGGCATGACACTCGTCCGGAGTTATACGGTGCACTATACAGGAAGCGGAGTGGTTATATATATTGACAGCCATTTAAAAGCCGAGGGACAACATGGCACTCAACTAACTGAGGTGACTGAATAATGTTGTTTTTTCCACACAAGTGGCACGAAATACTTGATTAGAGGGATTTACTGACCTACCTCAGGTACGTAAGTCCAGAAAGACAAACTGGCTGAGGCAATACTGTAACTGCCACTCCTGGGGTTCGATCAAATTCTCTTAGCCGGATATTTCAATCCCCCATCTCTGAATCTCAGCAATCAGGGTAAAACTACCAAAGACGATCTGATACACCCATTAGAAGCTCTGGGCTGGCTAAGCGTATAGGCAGCGCCACTAGATGGACTAAGGACGGAAAGCCTCAAACCTGTTACCAATTATCATTTCCTGTTCGAGGATCTTCACGTCCGTAC